GGGGATGGGGGGGATTATAAAAGTGACTTGCACATGCACGAAATATAGCTGTGTGGTTTACATGCATGCATGAACACAGAATTGTTTTTATATCATGGAATATTGCATAAACTCGAAGCCTCTTTAATTTATATATACTTTGGTTTGGCTCTCTATCTTTTTTTCTAGTTTTGGAGTAACAATTAATATTAAAACTAATTTTATTAGATAATTGATTAATTAAGGCTATTAATTCCCTCTCTGCTAGTTATATCGAACCATGCACCACGTACATTTTTAGATTATATTTTCCGTCTGTCTTTTGTTATCTGCCGCCATTGCTACAACGTACTATCAGCAACAGCGTACCGTATTGAAGTGTACTTATAGGGGCAACCAGATATGTGTTTCATAATCATTTCAGTAGAAAATCAGAGCGGCCAGGGTTTTTCTGTTCTATTATTATTATAATGTTATAATTGGTGTGTTTGTTTTGCTTTTGGTTTGAAATCAGTCTTTCGTTTCGTCATTGTCGCCGGGCCAGTGCCACTGACATGTGAGCAATATTAATTTATTGGGGAAGAAAATTCTTTGTTGAAAACCACAAGGAGTAGTCCGTTTTCCATTATTGTATATATGCATCCTCGTTTCGTCATTTTCATGTCGTCGGTCCGGTCCACCTACTGGGGCTTGCCGGTGTCGGAGGACAACAATGTTGATAAATTGATAATTCCAACGTACACACTTCTTTCCATCCATGCACCTGATATCATTTAATAGGAAAATTATTATTGTACGTTCATGTGCACATCTATATACATATATTTGCGAGTTTCATGGAGATTACCCATTAAAATTAGAAATTTGTATAAATATAAAAAGCCACTTGGTAAAGTGTATAGTTGGTTGGTTCAGTGACTTCAGTCCAATATTGCAACAAATTTTTTTTTTTCCCTAACATAAGAGTACAGTAGCTCCATCCTTGCGGATCTACAAAATAATGGCAATTGCATTTTTTTTCTCTTGTTTCTTCTGGTATTTATAAATAGATTAAGAAAGTTACTTCATTGAAGCCCATAAATGCAAGAATTTAATACGTGGATAATACATATAATAAAATATTGGGAAAAGGAGACAAATACCCTCTTAGAGTGCATAAGTCTAGATTTTTACCCTTTATTTATGATTAATATCCTTTTTAATCAAATAATATAATAATCAAAAAGGTATTAATCAAAAGTGAGAGGCTAAAATCCAGACTCATACACTTTAAGAGCAAGTTCAACCATTTTTTATAAAAAGTTATCTTTTTGCTCAAATAAGAATTATATATCTGGGTATTATTTAGAATTTCAAATAGTAGAGGATAAGGTAACACAGTTTAAGGGAAAAAAAAGCAATGAACAATTACACCAATTTTTACGCAGTAAAGAATATTAACTTAAATTCTTGCATCCTTGGGGCACTATTAACAGTGGCAACGCCAATCTTCACTGTGATTTTATTTTGAGGCTCCTACTAAAAGACATTTGATAATGTTTAGACATAAGTAATGGATGAATCAATAATGAGTTTTACCTCTAGTTGAGCGGCACAAAAATCACATCTTTATTTTCCCTATTCTTTTTCCCACTTTTTTCCTCTTATATTTTACTTCCTCTCAACAAATAAATAAAATTTGGACTACAGGGATGATCCGGGAAATTTGATCCCCAAAAGCTAATTTAGCAACATAAATTATGAAATGTACATAAATATAGACAAAAGTAATGGAAAAAAATATAAGTAGCAACTAGCAAAGCATCGTGCTGACGCGAACACTTTACTAAAACATTGACCCTAATTTGTATGCATTTCAAAATCAGGAAAACGAAATCTTGCAATCAAATAAGAAAGATGTTATAGGCAAAAGAGCTTAATGATAAATATTAATACAAGAGTCAATGTCTAAAAAAACCTTCGTCCTTTGGTCTCTATCCGACTGTCACATTAATTTTATTCTCATTTCTCTCACCAAAAAATTGCACTATTTCGGAGGTTCAAACCTCCTGTGTATAGTAAAAGATTACAGAGAAATTTTTGTTTATTCTACACCTGATCAAGGACGCATCTTAACCAATGAAGAAAATAACATACAACATGTTACTTGCTAGTATTCGCCACTTGTTACAGTTAGACATGTCTATTTATATACAAACCTGCCCAAAAGAAAGCGCATGAATTTCAAATCATGCAAGTATTTCTCCACTCTAGCTCGTTATTGACCATTTCTGTACCTGCTTGAAACGTTGAAGAACCATTTACAAACAAAGAAGGCTATAAAAAACAAGTGGTATGAAGGCATTATCAAGTTGCGTTGTGTAGGCCTCCAGCAAACCACTAACAATCACGGCAACGACGAGAGAGGACCAATGCTGCAAAAGTAATAGACAAAGGCATAAGCAATGCCAGAAAGAAAGAAAGAAAAGACACAAAGTCATGTCACACTCGTATTGCCTTATGTTTGGTTCTCCCCCAAAGGCAAAGAAAAGACGCAAGTCATGTCACACACTCAGATTGTCTTATTTCATTTGTCAATTTATTTTCCTTTAAAATAATGTCAGGAAAGATAAGTCATCCACATTACTGTCTTTGACTTGAACCCAATAACAGCAATAGCTCATGAATAAAGCTCCACCATGACGTTCCAAGTTGACAGTTTATTGTCGAGCGTAATTAATACGCAGAGAAGAAACGATACCTCTGTAACAATATACCCCGTTGATGCTAAAACGGGAAGCAGAACTGAGCACGTGGCCAGAACAGATGTAATCCCAGCTGCAGTTCCTTCAATGGTTTTCTCTACCAAGTATATCATGTCAAGTACATGTCAGCAAAGTAATGCAAAACTCAGCAGGGGGGAAAAATCAGGAAATAAAAAAGAATACTTACTGCCTGTTTTGCTCCACCTGAGGACACCATACTTGTATCCGACCATCGATGCCTAAATACATAGGTGAATTGTTACCAAGAAATATAACACAATCTTACACGAGTGGCCCAATAAAGGTTCAGAAAAACCCTTCCATAAAGTAGCTTTTTTTTTTTTTTTTTTTTTTTTCCCCTTTTATAACTTCTGTAGCATATTCATTTTGAAATTGAATCAGAACTCCTCTGATCATTGTTAACCTTTTTAGAGTTATGAGTTGACAAATTATTTAGCACAAACCTTATTGCAACTTGTGGTTGCTATATCCCTTACATGTTTCTATAACTATCCACAGGTCCAGATGAAAAACTAACTGCAGAGATTATGCTATGTGAAATAGCATGCTTCTCATAAAAATAAGAACTCCAGAGTTATCAATGCGATAACAAAATAATGCATGTGATGACTAATATCACAAATTAGTAGTTTACAAAAAGAATATTCACCATTGTATCTCCAATCCCGAGACTTAAAATTCCAGCAAAAGGGGCAAGGGGACGATCACTGTAGCCAGAGGACATCCAAATGGGAAGTGCACATCCCAATAGAAGAGAAAAGTGGCTGAACAAAGCAGATAGCATCAGAAAAGAGATAGCATTAAAAAAGAGACAATAATGAATTCGCTGAATGAGGGACATCTGTTTGAAACTTCTGATCTACAAGGGAAAGGCTTAGATCAAAAGCATGACACACCTGACAATTAGAATATCAGAGTCACGGTGGTCAGTGAAGGCATTCATAAACTGATGTACAGGTTGTCCCAAAGGCCAAATTCTCCATACCTGTCTACAAAAATATGGTTATACAGGAGGACAATCAACATAGACAGGGTTATACATTCCAAATATTAGAAAAAATTGGCAATTTTTTTACACTCAGACCCTTAACCTAATAAATTATAACAATCAAGACAATAAAATTTCTTTTAGTTTATTTTAAGTTCTTTAAAAAAAAATTCCAGCAGAAAAAGCGAGTCCTTTGAAATAGATTGAGGGCACAGTTGTCGCCTTAAAAACTCCATTTTCCTCCTGACTGCTCCATGGTATGCAATGAAATAAATTTCAAATCCAAAATAATGCTCTATAATTCCTTGACTACGTTGGAACTTGTGGAAACCATTGGAACTACGTGGAGTGTAATTCTGATTTCCCCTTTAATTACATGACTAACATAAATAGTCATTCCTATAGAGCATAACGAGCTAATGAAGACGAAAAAAATTTGTTTAACAGGGTCATAAAATGGAAGTTTGCTAACTTACTCGAACAATTTCCAATACCATGAAAACTCCCAAAGCTGCACCAAAGGCTAGATCAAGAAACTTTGGCTGGAAAACCAACAGCAAGGTTAAAACATAAAAAAGAAAAACAAACAAAACGGATGAGCAAGTACCACATATGACACAAACATCCTCCTTAGTTGCAGACCTGGAAGATGAGAGCAGGAAGAAACATTGAAACAGCCATGAGATGGTAGTACTTTCGGAGAAGAATCCTCTCAATCTTGCTATTTTTTGAGATATTATAGAATTTCAAAATAGATGCACAAATCACAATCACCCAGTAGATACACAAGGATAGTCTTTTTAGAGGTTCTGAAAAGACAAAAGAAAATCCCCTGCCAAAAGGATAAAATTGTAGACATTAGACAGTAATCTAACGAAAATGCTATATGAAATATCCAAAGCTATTAAGTAAAAAAGTATTTGTTTAGAAAACAGAAATGATATGGCTTTCAAACTAATGCTTAAAGTAGCCCACTTATACATCTTGATAGGCAGAGAGCATCTCAAACATCTAATTAGACATACAGGAATGTTTCAATCTCCATGAAAAAGTTAAATGACAATTCAATTTTAAGCAGGAAGAGATTTGGAGAAGATTTCTGCAGAAAGCATGTAATTACTTCAATGTTTTAACCATTCGGCCTAAATGGATATGAAATTTTTGTTTCCTTGAAACAATAAACCGCCATTCATCTTTTGATATTAGAAGCCAAAAGGCTCTTATTTAGTGATAGTGTGAATTTTCACAAAACCTATAGACTAATAGCCTGGTAAGGGCTATAGGAATTAGTTATGAAGAACTTCAAGCTACAGGCAAATAGAAATCATGGACATGTATCCGATTCCTTCACAATTCTAATATCTACAACATTCATAAGAAATAGTAACAAACGCAAGGTATTCATTAAAATAGCTTTTAATCCTAAGGGTTGCTAGTCAATCATCTTTCACGTAGTCACATAGATCATCAGTAATCTTACTAATACAATGACAACTAAAATAAAGCAATATAAATTCTACTTAAGTACCACACACAGACACAGGTTAGACTGTGCACCCCAAAAAAAAAAAAAACCAACAACAACAACACCACCAAGATGATCTATTCACCGGGAAATTATTGTGTATAAATTGATAGCTACCAAATAACAACTTTATAGCTACCACACTAAATTTAATGTAACAAAAGGGAACAGAAGAAGATAAGCATTACCAGAGCAATGGATGCATATGAAAATCCAGAATAAACTGCATCCATGATGGAATGATCAGAATCATAACAAATCCAAGGGAAGAGAAGAATATAAGGGACTTCCAAATCTCATTGTTGGTCCTTGATTCAGAATATCGTTTACTTGAAAACCATTCCCATATTTGATGTACAAATTTAAACACCGCTGGGAAAAGAAGAAGGCCAAGGAGCATCCCCTGCAACGAAGAGAAAAATAAGAAACATACATATATATATACTATTCACAATCAGTTTCATCACGTAAATAATAGTCATACCTGAATAATAATACCAATCTCACTCCTTTTACTTCCATAACGCACCACTTCTGCTGTAATCAACAACCTACATGCCTATTTGACCAAATTTTGGTAACAACAATATCCATAAGATAGCTTATTCAGGGGAAAAAATATTATTAAACTTCAAGTGCAGGGAAAAAAAAACCAAAAAACAAAAAAAAAAAAGCAAAAACAATACACAAAACTAACCTTTGCTATGGTAAATGCCAACATGTCGCTTAAATAGAGAACAAGACCTGATGTCAACAAAAGTGCTTCCCCTGAAACGCAAGTGGATACTAATGATTACTAAGAAAAAAACTACAACAACAAAATTTAGTTTCTGAAACATTTGGGGAAGGCAAGGCACAGCTGAAGCTATTTACTTAAGTCTTTAAACGTAACTGGTGGAGACAGATTAAAATTAAAAAAATGAAAAAAAAAATTAAAGAAAATGATTGGTCTGGGAAGCAGATATATTAATGTTTTGGAATTGTATGATTATTGACAATAGAAAGCTCATGAAAGAACGCAAGACAAAGAAAATAGTCGTATGATACAAACCAATTGAAGCACTGGATGGAAAAGTATTAAGCAGATGCTGTATTAATCTCACAGCTGCCAATCCATGAAAAATCATCCACATTAACTTAAGTACCGTATTAAACCCTGCAAGAGAATGAATAAACGACAGAGTGAGCATAAATATTATTAGCTCAAGCAAAGGTTTAACAAAAAAGAGGAAAAATGATGATACAGTAGTTGCATAAATACCCACCAGAAAGAGATAATGTATGAAGAGATGCACAGCACAGTACCGTATACAATACTATGCAACTTAAGCTAAATTTTGAATGCCAAGTACTACGCAGACTAAGGGAACGCATATTGCCAGGTTCACACCATGTAACCATGCAAAGAAGTACAAGCACGCTCAAGCAACAAGCAGAAGTAGCCCAGTACTGCATCGTTAGGTGTTCGAACTCTACACAGCGAGACGGAAACAGAAATCAGAATTGTGTAAAAAGTGAGAATGAAAGCGACATGAAATCCAAAAGAAAACGGGGCCTCTAAGACGAAAGGAAAAACAATATGTGACACGATTGTTTTTTCATTTTCAATAGAATATCAACCAATGAACGTGACAAACATCATATACAAAACAAAAGAACGATGCTAATCGATGCAATAACTGAACCTCCAAAAGTGATCCAACCAGCATCCTTAAGTAAATCCAAGAGATACTAGTTGATATTCAGAAAAAAAAGGATCATTAACATAATAAAATGCCATTAAAACAACCTAACTTTTCACTTGAAGCAATGAATTTTATACCTTCAATTTCGACTTCTTTCATAGCTATGGCCCTCAACATCTGTGTCAACTTACACAGCATAAGAGCTGGCAAGGTAACAGCCCCTAACAGTATTCCTGAGGAAGCACCAGGCCTGAAATATATATATAAAAAATAAAAAATAATAACAAATAGAGCTCTTTTACACAATAAACAATCATAGAATCCCTCAAAAAAACAAAAAAACAATTATAGAAACACAAAAATTTCACATTAGGAATTCATATATTAGCCTCCGCTCAATAAAATACAAATAAAAAAAGTAAAAAACACACATTTTTGGAAGAACTGAAATCGAACATCCCTTCCATTCCATTTCCCATTTTTCTCGGTGCCCAAATACAGGAAATTTCATCCAATTATAACCATATAAACAAAAAAGAGGGAATTTATCTTCCCTCCGACGCCGAATATAGAACAAACCCTTGCGAATTCACATTTGAAGGGGGGAAAAGCGAAATCTGAGAGATTTGAGATATAAATTTACCTGGTCTTGAAGAAGGAAAAGGAATTGGAAGAATCAGCCAGGACGTCGAGTGATAGGGCGGAGAGCGCGAGGAGAGAGAGGGCAAGGCCGTGGCAGAGGAGAGACGAAGGAAGGGAAAACACGACGCCGGCCACGAAGATGACGACCACCGCCCTCTCTCCGTTCACCAGCGACTCCATGGCCGCCATTGCAAACGTTGCTCTTAGATTTCGACTCTTTTTCTTTTTCGTTTTTATTTTTATTTTTGTTGTTGCTGTTGGAAAAGGTAAGCGGTTTAATTGTTCGTTGAAATTATGGTGAGCATAAAAATTAAAAAATAATAAATGAATATAACCGCGTGAGGGAGGAAAGGCGCGCGGAAGAGTACGGAATGTTATATTTATTCAGTTGAAGTTAGAAGTTGAAACGGAACCCAACGCTACGTGACTTTTGGATGAAGGTTTCCTTCAGATATTACACCGTCGTTTTCTACCATCTCTAACAAACGTCATCAAAAATGTTAAAACGTTGATTAGTACCTTTTTTAAAACGTTGATCAGTAGTGATGGCAATCGAGCGAGGAATGATTTCTCATTCTCATCCCATCTCCACCCTCTTAAATCATCTTCATTCCCGCTTCTATCCTCACTTAACGAAAGACGGGATTAGAGTTGAGAATTTTCAATTGGAGAGAGGATAAATCTTTTCTGAGCGGGTCTCATTCCTCATCATATTTTATAATAATTTAAAAGAAAAAGATAAAAATTCACTTTAAATTTAAGTTAAAATCAAAGTTTCAAACCAAAATTTAAACATATGCCAACTAAATTTTAGTAAGACTAATTATGTGTCTAAAAAATTAATATCATGTATGTACATTTACTTATAAATTAATTATATTAATTTTTATATCAAGACCTCAATTAGAAAAAATACCTCGAGGCCGACTCGGATGATAACTTGAGTTCTTTGACCACGAACGATCCTTGCTCTAAAGCTTTGTGTTTAGAAAACCAAAGTCTTTCACGTCAATTCTTTAAATCTACGTAGACGTGTGTGTGGGCACACTCAAGACTAAAACGGGTTAGATCAAACACTCAAATTTTCCACAAACACCAATACATGCACGATGTGGAATTTTTGGGAGAAAAATTTTTCATTCTCTCTCTATTTTTGGAATTCGGCCAGCCCTCAAGAATTTAGGTTAAAAATTGTTACGCGCAATTTTTATCATATCTTATTTATAGAGTAGAAGTCAAACTTCTAGAAGGAATCAAATCTCTCTCTCCAATTTGAATTTTTAAACAAAAATTCTCCTCTACCTTATCTCCTTGTGGCCGGCCAACTCTAGGGTTTCATATCCCTGTGTGTGGCGCCAATTGCAGATAGGAAAGGAAGAGAAAGTCATCATTTATCCTGTAGTCCAATTTTAATTCAAATTCAAATTTGAATTTAAGTCAAACTTAAATTAATTTGAATTCTAAATTGAACAACTTATCAAATAAGTTTAAAAGGATAAATTTAAATTATGTTCATGATTCAAATTCAAATTTAAATAATCACATTATTTAAATAATAATTAATTCTCAATTAATTCTTTTGAGTATTTAATTTTAGAATTTCATAATTCTAAAATTTCCATTTTGCCCTTTGTGTCTGGTAGAATTACAAGGACGACACGGGGACTAATGGACCTATAATCCCGAGCTCTAATAAAATTAATAATTAATTAAACACTTTAATTAATTAATTAATTCTATTAATTCCAATAGTTACTCCACTGTAAACTTGAAATTG